TAATAATGTATGTCCCTAAAAGATGGTTTTTTAAAACACATGACTAAGTAATACCATTACATTTGAAAATATTAGCAGTAATTCTATCATCATATATTAGACTTCATATTTCCTACAAGTGTGATTCTGATTTTCAGATATGTGTACATCTAAACAAATGAGAAATAAAATGTGTACATTTTATTTAAAAGAAAAATTTAGTTTAAATTAGGATCCCAAAAGATCTACTTCTTGCTTTGGGTTATAATGCCTCCTAAATTTCCACTTTCTTATTTTTGTTTCTAGCAATTTATTTGTTGAAGAAATTGGAAATCAACTCCATAGCTGGCCTAAACTAAATGCAACACTATTTCACCCAGTTTCCAGTCCATCTGTCAGCGGAATGTTTCATTCTTAGATCTCATGCTGCCATCTTCTTGATTTGTCTCTGTGCCACTATCTTAACTAATTCAGGGCCTAACAACTGCCTTCTAGTTAGAGTGCTTGCTGCCTGAGATACCTCATAAAATAACATCCTCACATGAAGTGGCCTGTGATTAACAGTCCTAAATCGCTCCAGTCCATCTCTGGTGTTACCATCTTTGCGATGCAGGGTGCAAAATTGCCCCCAAACAAGAGAGTGCTGCTCACTCTGGTTGACTGAAGGATGAGCTAGTTAACTAGAAACAGGTCTCACTCTCCTCCCCATCAGTGGGACTGCAGCCAAGTTCGCATGACCAGTGTTTGTTTTATCTAGGATAAAGTTTCAGCTGAAAATTCTCACACATTCCTAGTGTGAGCCTCAAAGTACTGGGTAATTTTTATTTCCCCTAAATCCCATAAAATCTGATAGCTAGATTTAGAACACCTGCTGCCCATTGCCAAGCTTGTGCTCATGCTTACCTTAGATGGAGTATATTAAAGGGTCAAGGTCCTTCTGGTGGTATATATACCCACATACAATTGCCAGTAGAGAACCCAGAAATAAGTGATGTTAACTACGCAAATTTTATCCAGAGTAGAGGGATGTCATGCAAAATTTTATCCAGAGTACAGCTACTGATACAGGCCACAAAATACCCATATTCTATCCAGTAACACCCTATTCATTTAGAACAAAGCCAACTCTGAAACATGACCAAATATTCTACTGTAGAAAAATGTAGTCTTTGGCCATTAGTTACTTACCCTGCATCCTGATGCTTCATGGGGAGTCCTTTGCAGACCATGGCCAGCCTATTGGCCACAATTTTTTTTTTAATTTTGAAGAGAATAAAACCAAATAAGACAAAACAAAATGGGGTCAGTCAAAACAAAGTGATGGACATAGTACATGTCTTAAAACCAAAATACAAGGTGATCAACAATGATTACCATAATGCCTCTTGTTATCTTCAAAAGAACTGAAGATGTTGTATCTTTATATCATCAGGCCATATCATCAGGCATAATAAAACTGAACAAAACAGTACAATACAAAATCAGTAAAAACAAAACATTGGAGACATTATAGGATTTCAAAAGAAGATAATAGTCAAACCAGAATGGGTATCATAGTAAATCTTACTGTCTTTAAAGTCATCGCCTATACCATCAGACTTGATGCTATCAAACAAAACAAATTCAAGTAAAATCAGTCAAAACAAAACAGTGAAAGCAATACAGAGTTTCAAATTAAGTTAATAGGAAATCAAAAATGGTTACCACAGTACATCCTGCTATCTTTGGAACAGCTGTCCATGCCATCAAATCTAATACAAGTAGACAAACTGGAACAGAATATAACCAAACTAAACAGAACAGTGAGAACAATATGGGTTTCAAATCATGATACAAGATTAACAATGGCCACTACCTTCCCTTTTTAGACAATTCCTCCCCTTTCACTTTTACAGGGTGCACTGTACATTTTAGATCCCACTGACTCCTTTAGTTTTTAGATTTGAGAGGCAACCTTCTATTCACCTAAGTAATTCTGAGTCTTTTTACCCCTGAGCATGATCTCAAGTTGTATCCATTTACCTACAAGACCGTCAAGGTTTTCCTTCTTTATAGCTGAGTAGTTCTCTATTGTATAAAAATGTCATGTCTTTCCAACCAATCTGCAGCTGATGGGCAAGCTACCCCTATTTTTTACTGGTTTCCTGTCATACAGAGAATTGTTTTCTCATCTTTGACTTTCAGTCCACAAATCCTCTTTCAGATCAGTTATATTTCTTAGATAGCTGATGGACCCTATTTCTTGATCCAATCTGTCTGTGTTTCTTTGTATTAGTGTATCGAGGCCATCTATACTAGTGATTATGGCCAACTTTCTCTGCCTCATCTCTGCCATGCTATTTTCTGCTGTTGATTGTCTGCTTTTCCCCTTCATTCCACAGTTGCCCCATTCAGTGAGCCCCCTCTGCTGCTATTCCTGAAATCATGGCCTTTTTTCTCTCTTTAGAATGTCTTTCAGTATTTTTTGTAGGGTTGGTTTGGTGGTCATGACTCCCCCAGGTCCTCTTTGTCATGGAAGCATCTTGTTTCTCCATTAATTTTGAAAGATAGTTTTTCAGGGTACATCAATCTGGGTTGGGGGTTATTTTTTTTCAGTACTTGGAATACTTCACTCCAAGCTCTTCTTGATTGGATGGTTTGTATCAAGAAGTCTGTCATGATTCCGATGGGTTTTCCTTTATAGGTGATCTGTTTCTTTTCTCTGATGGCTTTTAATATTCTGTTCTTGTGTTGAATTTCTGGAATCTTGATTACTATATGTGTGAGTATAGATCTACTTTGGTTATAGCTGGCTGGAGTTCTGTATGCTTCTTTTTCTGAATATCATTTCCTTTTCCTGTGCTTGGGAAGTTTTCTTTATTTATATAAATAGCCTTTGTATTTCATTTGTGTTTACCCCTGCTTCTTCGCTCACATTTTTTTATTCTTAAGTTATAGACCCTCTTGTCATCTTCTAGCCTTTGTATTATTACTTCCCGGTTCCTTGGTTTTTTTGTTTTGTTTTATTTTTTGTTTTTGGTTTTTTGGGTTTTTTTTTTTGTTTTTTTTTTTTTTTTTTGTCTTTTTTCATTTTTACCGGTACCAGGGATCGAACTCACGACCGCCTGCTTGCAAGGCAGGCGCTTATGCCGCTGAGCTAAATCCCCAGCCCCCGGTTCCTTGTTATTTTTAAGAGACCTTTCTTTCACAATCACAAGTTGCAAATCTGCCAGCGCAGTTCTTCAATCTGCTGCTCCCCTCCACCATCACGTTTCCCTGCCAAGGGCATAGTGCTTGCCAGCCACCCGCTTATCTGTGACTGCGTGTCTCTGGATTCTACTTCTTGCACAGTGGGGCCAGCTCCGGTGAAAGCACTTCTAGCTACTGCTTTCTGTTTAAGTTACTCTTTTCTTCTTCTTCTTTTTCTTCTTCTTCTTCTTTTTATTCTCTCTGTGGGCTTTGATTCTCACTTTAGTTTCTTCCTGGGTCGAGGGGACCCATTTCTTTCCTTCTGATCTTCTCCAGAATGCTATATTCTAGCATCTGGGCTATTTCTCGCAGAGAGGCTGTTTACTCTGCTGCTTTCTGTTCTGCCATCTTCCCAGAATCTGTATTGGCCACAATTTAAGCAGTAGACTGAAAGAAGTTTGTGGATTATCAGAGCTAGTTTAGGTTCCATGTGAGGGATTCCCGGTTGGTAATATAATTTTGAGTCTAATATTGAAGATTTTTATGAACTACGATGTTGATTTAACCACTGCAGTAATTATCAGTGTATGGAGCTGTTGAAGAATAGGGCAATCAGAAAGTGGAGATGATGACTGAATCCAGAACTCCCAACCTATGGCCAGAAAGAAAGTAGGTACTGACAAGAAAGGAAACATTGCTTCCCACATTACTGTATGAACCTTTCATTTTTGTATCCACCCTAATTCTTTACCACACACAGGGATAGTTAAATTGTTAACTCAAGCTTTTCTTTGCTTCTTTAGAGTCTCATATCATAAATGAACAGCCTGTAATTGCAAAGCTCTGGCTTTCTTAATGTATCACTATGATACAGTCTAACTGTAAAAGCTGACTGTTTTGTTAAAGTAGCTACTGAACCATTTCATTGTATCCTTAGGTGCAGAAATGAAACAGCTCCTTAACCATTCACAGCTCTGAGCCAGGGAATAAAACCAGAAATTCTCAGAAACTTTAAGCACACCATCAGCAAATATAATCCTTCTAAATTGGAGACTTCATGATGCAACCCTGACTCAGTCATAGCACCCATCATATGATGACAGTAAATGACATCTTTCTAGCCAATGACTGAGGTAGACTGCATTCAGAAATATCCTTTATACTAATATAAGACAGCCAAAATCAGTACCTGACAAATGTGACAGCCTGGTGTATAGAGATACTTATTCTCATGAGCAGAGAAGAAATAAACATTCAACCCTCTGCCAAATGCAGTCATAGGGCTGACTTCACTGCTGTCCACTTGAAGATATTATCAGTAGAATGATATGTAAAGGATTCTAGGCTTTCTGCTATTGTCTTCATGCTAACTTCCCTAAGCCTCACTTAGAGCAAAATCAGCGTTCCTATAATGCAATTTATTTTACATGTAAAGTCTGAAAATGCAAATTCCGAAGTCCAGTTTCTCCTTTGATACTGGCTCCTCCCTTGTTTCCTATTCAGCCCCATGCTTATTCCTCTGTTATTTATCATGTATATCATAATGTTAGGCAAGTACTGCACTACACATGACACTAGTCTAAAAGTCCTGCAGCTCCGCCCTAGTGATTCATGCAGAGGTTTAAAACATAAATCACTGCAGCACTCTTCTTCCTTGGCATTGACAGCTCTATCCCTATATGAGAATGTAAAATCCTATTAAGGAAATGCTTTTTCCCCCAAATAATTATTTTCTAAGACATAATGCCATGATGGTGATGTTTGGATTTCTTACTATATATGTGAATTTATTGCATCTTATTATTTTGCTTCTTCTAAAGAAATTGGTTGTGACTCCTTGGCATTTATTGCAGATGAACAGGAAAGTTCTGGAGCAATTATTTACACGGTAGAGCTGAAGCGCTATGGGGGGCCTCTCGGCATCACAATTTCAGGAACTGAAGAGCCATTTGATCCAATAATCATTTCAAGCCTCACTAAAGGAGGATTAGCTGAAAGGTAAAACTTGAAGGAATTGCTATAATTACCAGTGTCTGAGAGGTGCTTTCTTCTTTGCATTCACATAAAAACATACTTCCCTCTCCTGTTTCCTTATCTGTTGACTTTTAAATCTTTTCAAAGGATTGGCTTTTATAGCCTGAGAACTCTCAGACAAAACTGCAACTTGACTTGAAGGAGTGTCTTACAGGCAGCGAAAGATGCCATGGGTTTCACAATGATATTACTCTCTAGAAATATGTACACTGACCACTGTTGACTAGAAGTAGATTTATATCATATCCATTTTGAGAAGAGCAGTTCAGCGAAGTTAAGTGGCTTGTCTGATTCAGTTCTGCAAACACTTGCTGAACCTGTTACCTGACAGGTGCTGTGCTTGGCTGCCGTGTTTTTAGGAGAGGATGATGCAGGCTTTGCCTTCAAAGGTTATGGAAAGCAAAGTGTAGTGAACTCCTCCCTTAGCAATACCTTGTATGGTTTATATACATAGTGCACCCATTCTCCACCTTCCAATGAACTGTGTTTTTTTCTGAGATAGATCGTTGTACACAAAACAAATTCTATTACCAGATCGTCTCTCCAGTGACCTAGCTCAAGAATGTAATTGCAAAATAGAGAGATAGTGTTCAGAAAATTGAAAATTACAAAATGTGATTAAAAACTACAGTGAATGTTTAAATTTTCAAAAAATTATTATAATAAGAAACACATGAACCTCCCTCAAAATCCTCCCCCTCATTTTGACATACTTATCTTGTTATTCTTGCCACCTTCTGAAGCAGTTCTAGAAGTTCTCTTTTGTGAGTGTCTTTAGTTGCACTGTCTTGGCTGCCTTGATGTCCTGAGTTGCTTCAAAACATTTCTCTTTCCTGGCCATTTTGCTTTGGGGAAGAGCCAGAATTCTCACAGTGCTTGTGCTAGCAAATACAGTGTGTAAAGACACGCCATGATGATTTTACAAGCTTGCCTTTCTGTTGGATGGCACTCAGCAGTATTCATTGTATTTTTTGACACACCTTGTAAAGACACATCCTAAAATTCAGCTTATCCAACATCATCTTATCTGAAAGACAAGGAGACTGAGGCAGCCCAGAAAGTGTTACACTGCTGGAATTTGATATTCTGATGTTAGCAGAAACACCTAGGATAACATATTCTTCAGGCGTCCTTTGGTCCTAAACATCTGTTATATGGCAGCTTAATATCAATCTGATTCAGTAAAGTGTTTATGAATTACAACCTAGATCTTCCATAAACTAACACTATGAAAGAATCAAGAGATGGGGGGGGTCCTTAAGAGCAGATGCAATGGCAGACTTGTTAAGCAGCCTCTCCTAACATGTATGCCACAGTGTCACCTCTGTTGCTCAGTTCCTTAGCTCAGCACAGCTACTATTGTCCCAGAAGCAAACTGTACTCACAGTAGTCGTCAGCAGCACTGTACACTGGATAAACTCCTTCACTCACTAGATTTTAAAAAGCAAGCCAGTTCAACCAGCAGCTGGTACATGGAATTCGGACTCTACAGCCTTCCTCCAGGGCAGACATCTGAGTTTCATACCACCCTGAGCTGCTCTGCTCTGAATCTACTCCTCCACCAGGTGCTTCCCCCCAAAGATAGGTGCACCAAACATCAGAACTATAAATGCCAGTTTACTGGGTTAGGTTGGATGGAAAGAAAAAGGGAGGAAATCTATGATTTATTAGTCAAAATTTAATTTGTTTCTTTTAACCATATCTCAAGCAATATGCCAAGCTCTTTGTATTTGTATTCCTTTTTAATTCTTTGAATTTCTCTGTGAGATGATTATCCCCACTGTAGTCAGGAGAAACTGACATCCAGAGGTTAAAATAAGGCACCCAGATCACACAGCTGGTAGGTGGCAGAGATAGATTCGAATATAGCACTGATTGATCCTTGTGTTCATCACTTTTTAATCCCTGGAATGGTCATCAATAGGGGAGGCCCTGCACCAGGGTCAGGGTGCATCCCCATCATCCTGAGCCTCACTTCTGCAGAGGTACTGATTGTGTTTTAATGTTAAATATATAGAAAGAAAGAATGTTCCGTGCTCTTTCTCAGTCACCATAGTACATTTCCTTTGTACTTTTAAGAGGATTACTAACGGTTCCACTTACCTGCAGTTTAAAAAATACCCAAGTCTATTTTCAAAACTAATTAAAACAATTTTTCTAATTTTATTTGAAATTAAAAAGTAGTTCACAACAGATGTAGTTATCTTATAACATTGCCCGAGAGAAAACTAGAAGTGACTTGTAGACATGCTTGCCAAGTCTTTATGGTTATGAATGTGTAAAGTGTGTCAGGGAATTGATCCTGCATCCCTGTTCCTAATTGGCTTTTCAGAACTGGCGCAATCCACATAGGAGATCGAATTCTAGCCATCAACAGCAGCAGCTTGAAAGGGAAGCCTCTGAGTGAAGCCATCCATTTGTTACAGATGGCAGGAGAGACTGTCACCTTGAAAATTAAGAAACAGACAGAAGGTGAGTGGGTCATGGGCCTCCGTTAAGGACTACCAGAGTGTGTCCTTCCCTCCCTAAAATAATGTGCTATTGTCTACATGCATATTTCTAAGGAAATGAATCTCCTGACACCGAATACTGAGTCTCTTTTTATTTCAGATTCTCTGATATTTAACCTCTTTTCCTATCTGTAAAGCCCAGTCAGCGTCAAGTCCCAAGAAGTTCCCCGTCCCCAGCCACCTGAGTGACCTGGGAGATGCGGAGGAAGACTCCTCACCTGCACAGAAGCCAGGCAAGCTCTCCGACATGTACCCCTCCACAGTGCCCAGCGTGGACAGCGCAGTGGACTCGTGGGATGGGTCTGGAATAGATGCCAGCTACGGGAACCAAGGTGAGTCCTCACTCTGGGAATCATAGTTGAAGATCGTATTTCTCAAAGGTTTACCCTCTCATTCATAAAGAGAATGTCTTTAAACTGTGTTTGCGTCAGTGCCACCACACGGAGCACACTGAAACGCTTCCCTTGGCCGAGCTAGCATTTCCTTCTCAGTCCTGAAGTCATGAACATTGGTCAGACATTCACAGGTCTGTTAGATCGTCTGATGGCCAAGTTTTCAGTGCTGATCTTGTCTTGTAAGCCAGAATTGATCTGAGGCTGATCATACACTAGAGACAAGTCTCACTGTCTTCTTTTCCAGTCAGTTTTTCACAAAATAGCTTAGGGAGCTTGAGGCTTACATAAGAGATGAGCTATGGATTTGTGACCCAGTTTATTCTTACCTACTCCCGGTTCTATATAGAAACTTGAAGGGGTTTCCCTCAGTTCTCATTATTAGAGAGTTATAATCACGGTACATGAATGTGTATACTGGATTTTTCTTCACAGATGTCAACTCAACTGCCAGTCAAAGAACAGTATACATAAACAGCTTGGAGAACATATGTTTGGGTGTGAGAGATGCTTTGGTGCTCTGTAAACTATACTTACGGGAGAGACTGAATCCAGTTTGTTCTCATCCTGCCTTTCCTAGTTTTCTTCGCTCAGCTTGCCTTTGTTCTGTTGCTTTCTGTTGTGTCCTGTGATGGTGAAAAAATAGAAATGAAATGATATCTCAGAGATGTCATTTTGTTATTATTAGAGATGATCCTAGAGTTTAGTGGAAAATATATTTTGAACACCTAAAAGAGAATTGAAGGTTTCATTTATCTGGCAGTTAATTTTTCCAGATCATAATGCCTTGTGATAAGTTAGCTCTGCCGCCCAATGGCAGATATTTTCATCGCCTGAAAATTGATAGGCAACAAAAGACACTAATAAAGAACACAAGTCAAATAAAGCAGAAACATTAACTTGAATTAATTTTTGTTCATTGTCTCTTTATTAATGTGGAGACATTTTGGCTACACAAAAAGCTTTTGTGAAGATGCTATTAATATTAACGAGTTCTGCCCCCTACAGTGACACTAAGAACTCAGCTCTTCCAACCTTTCATTCCACGGGAACAAGACAGTGCTTGGCATACTAACATAGGGCCTCATTAGTAAAAGATGAAGAACCATGTATTATGTATGAAGCATTTCACAAATTTGAATAGTAGTCATAATAATATTAAATATGGCATTTACAAATTAGAAATCTTTATGAGATTGATGAAGCTAATAGCTAAGTAGAGAGAGAGGCAGGGCAGAATGGAAGTTCTCCAAAGTAAAAGAAAAAACACCGTAACCATCTCTTGTGTTTGTAGAACACTTCCAGCTTTAGTAAGCACTTTCATATAAGTAATCGCTAGTGATTCTTGTCACACCCCTGAACCAAAGGCCAGTGTTGGTCATGGGTCATGGAGGGAGAGGAGGATGTAACTGAGCCAGGCTGATTCCAGTGGAGCTCCTGGTACTGTGTCCTCCCTTGCTACATAAAAGCAAGTCAGAGGTGAGCGCCTGAGATGACACATTCCTCCCAGCCACTGAGATAGCCCTCCCATCACCACATTGCACTGACAGCTCAAAAGTTCTCGCTTGTATTGAGCTTAAACATACCTGCCCAAAGCTCCTGCCTATTAGTCCTGCTTCTACCCTCAAGGTGATTCAGAACCAGACTAACGCCTCCTCCATTTGACAGCCCCTCAGATGTTTGAAGATGGCATTCACTTCTTTTTCCTTTCCTTCTCCAAGCAAAGTAGCCTCAGTTCTTTTCATAAGTGTAGTTAGTAACCTACACTTTTCAGTATCTTTATTATGCTATTGGATTCTTTTCTGAATATACATTGATTCTCTTCCAATTTAACACTATAACTACCTAAGAATAGCACTCGGGAAACAAAGTCATATGACATTCTGACAGCCTAAAACACAGCAAGTCTATCAATGCAGGCTGCATTAACATAGGGACTTTGGTGGTCACATCATAGCCATCACTCTGAGCTTACTGTTTACTAGTGTCTTACAGTCTGTTTCTCTTTCATTTTTTTACTGATATGAGGTTAAAACAGATCTATCCAGATTGTGCATATAATTGACTTCTCAGAAGCAGATAACATTTTTCCCCTCCATTAAATATGTGATGAGATATAGCTTATGTCTTCAGCCTCTCACCAGCTCTCTCTTCTGTCCTAATAAGATGCTCACAACCTCACTATTTTAAGTCTACTACCATGCCCCATTCCCAATGGGATGCTGCACCTACATGATGCATGTCTTCCTCCCTGGGCCAAGACTCAGTATCTCTAGACATATTCCTTGCTGTTCTTGTTGCTTCCTTAGAATGTCAAGTTTTTTTCCACTTATTCACTCAACAAATATTAATAAGTGGCACAATATAAGACCAACACTGTTGGACCATAGATCCAGAGGCACTATTCTCATAGAAGGGGTTACATAGCTGAAGGGTCAGACAAGTAACCAGACAGTTAACATGCAAAAAGCTACCAGCAGTGCTGAGTGTTCCTTAGTCAATGGAAAGAGAATTGCAATGGCTGGATCAAGACTGGTGGGTAAAGAAAGAGTGTGTTTAGGGAAACCCAGCAGTGGGGTGATCTTAGATTTTGTTATGTAGCTGTAAGATGCAGACCCCTAGTTGGCCTCTGAGACAACTTCCCCCCACCACCACATTCTCTTGCTCAGAATACACAGTCCAGGCTGTGTATACTTGTATACTTTGCATCTATCTGACTTATCCAGATCTTATGCTTTTGATTCCTTGGGTCTTATTTATTATTTTTTTCTAACTATTGGAAAACATTGCTCTGCTTGGATGGAGGAGAGGCCAGCCCAAAAACAGACTGACAAGTGAGTCTACCTGGACTCTGCCATTCTCATGAACAGTTAGCTCTTGTATTCTCTGTGATTCTGGCCTATCAACATCGATAGTTATAATTCCTTTTCTTCTTTTTTTGCAAGTCATTATGATCATTTCTATTCTCTTACATTTTTATTCTCTTAGAAAAAGAAATACGTTTTTATCCAGGTTTATAAATATATTTGTATATAATTAAGTAAACTCTTCTTTAACTCTTTATTTTCTCAAATTTTTTTTTCCTGTACCAGTGATTGAACTCATGACCTTGGGCTTACCAGTCAGTCACTTACACCACTGAGCTAAATCCCTGGCTTAGTTTCTCAAATTCTAAAATTATATCTCCCGTATTTTTCCTTAATTGGTAAATTTGTGTTTTTATTTTTCCATGATTGGATTAGTAATAGTTTCGGGACTTTTTTCCAAAAAGAATTCTACTTGCATTTACTAGTTCCATTATGGATCTTTTCATATAAAATTTGCATTGAAGTTTAATTCTTTCATTCAGTTTCTTTTAGAGTTTGTTCCTTTTTATTCGAGTTGAATGCATAATTAATTTCTACATTTTCCTGTGGTTTTCATAAGAATAACAAAAAACTACAAAAGATACCAACAAATACAGAACCCAAATTTATTAAAGTGTAGCTAAATAATGAGACACACTACAGAGCAGGACAAAGCATGAGATCAAGCAGCATCCACTCTATCAGTAGGGTTTCATTTTTTCTTCCATTTATCTCTGATCATTACATGCTCATATTTCATCTTGTTCCATTAGCTTGCCCAATTTCCCCAAGTTCTTACTTTTCTGCTTTGGTCTCTAGTGTTATACAAAGATGGCTTTGGTGTATGTTTCTAAAATTTTGTCATCATCTATTTGGTCGTATTTATCATGCAGTGCTTTTGCTGATGAGTATCTTTCATCTACTACTGCTTTCTTTGTTGAACTTTGTACAGGAGTAACTTGCCATGCATCACATGCCAATTCTTTTTAAATTACTGTTCTTCACTGTATTCAGAGAGCTCCCCCTGAGCTGGAATTTTTCTAGAGGTTGTGAGAAAGACAAGTCCAGGCTGTGTTCCCGGCATGCAAAACAGCCCATTTCACACTTGTTAAGCATGCAAATGAGCTCTTCCCTAGACAGTGGACCACAGGGCCTTCCCTACTCACAGCGCAGCTCCACTGCTGCTCGCCTTCCTGCAGGCTGTGACAGATCTGCTGGACGTGCTACTTCTCAATCCACCTCTCTGATTTTACACTGGTACCAGATGGGATACAAGACACTTCCTGCCGCCAGCCCATGCATTGTGTGGCAGTGTTACAAGCAGTGTTGCAGTTTTACCTCATATCCTGGCCTTGCTTTGACTAACTAAAACCCCTCTGCAATCTCTGGCCATCGCTGTCTTCACCTAGCTTCCTACAGCCACCACCCTGGTAACAGCTGCCCATGGACACTCACTGAATCGGACATTTTTTCTTCTGTCTTATACTTTGCAGTTACAGAAATACTCTAGTTGAAGATGTGATTTGGATCATAAGGAGGGGGTTTTGGATGGTGGGGTCATCATTTTGAGGTGGTTTCTGAAAGAAGTTAGAACTACTTTTGCCCTGTCATTTAAAACTAGAGTTCATCTAAACACTTCAAATATTTTTATTGTCAAGAACAATTAAAAATAGTGACACAACGGTATGATTTCATTTTCTCATTCTTAACAAACTTATGTCTTTGGGAAACAAATTTGGCAATATAGCTCACTTTCCTTTAGTAAAATTCATATGCAAAAATGAAACTAATGGTGAAAGCTACAGCTCCATAATTGTAGTTAAGAGTAAATTCTAAAATCACACTCTGATTTCAGACTTCATCACTATGAGCCAACATTGTTTAGATTGCCTACCTACATTACACCTGAGTGTGAATTAAGTGCTAAAAGTGGATTAATACAGAAAACCAAATGAAAACTATAATGACAAATTTTTATTTTCCAAATATTTAAGATTTATTTACCCTAAAAATAATAATCATTATGTCAAGGTTTCCTCCACTTTAAAAACCATTTGTGGAGCCGAGGGTTTAGCTCAATGGCTAAGTGCCTGC